CATTAATCATGGCATGGTTCATTTTGAGAGTTCTACTGAGAGAAAAATCCTCGCTAACATAGGTGGAGATCCTGCTTGATTACCCCCTCTCGGATTCTTTGAGTTTCCTGGCTAATTCCCCAACAAACTCAGGAGATCCTCACAACCACTTACGGTAACACCCAGGATCATTGTGCCCATGCAGGGCTGAGGTCACACACACTAAATGATCCACTTTCAATCCACTTTCAGTGCACATTCCAACTGGATTTTTACTGTGTGAACTGGCAAAATCCAGTTGGAAAGTGCATTGAAGGCGGACTGAAAGTGGATTATTTAGTCTGTGTGACCGCAGCTCAGATTGGGCTCACAAGGTATTTTCACCACTTTCCCCCACCAAAGTTTGACAGCAGTTGACTTTAAACCAGCCGGTGAGATTCAAACTTTTTATCTTGGACTAATCATGTTCCTGGGAAAGTGGCTTCCCATGTCCAGCTCTGGGACTCTTCCCCATAAAAAGAACATCCCGAGCCCACTACCTGAACACCCCTGTGACTGCATTTCAGACTGCCTTTATTTCTCCTCACTCTGAGCCTTGAACTTCTCCAGACCACAAGCCCAGGATCTCAGGTTGTAGGTCCCTTCCCTAAAACTTCCCATTTTCCTCCCTTCTGCCTTTTACAAGTGTGCTCTGGTTACTTGGGGAATTAGTTCTCAGATGCTTAGTGTTGATTCTTTACAATTTTACTTCTTTTATTTTATTTTGTGTATAATAAAATTATATGCTCAGGTTTACAATCACTCTCTCACTCTCTTTTTTCATAATTTTATTATAAAACCCAACTGAGATCCACCTTGGTATGCAGAGACCTATATCTAACTGATAGTTCTTCTTTCCGATAGTTTTCCTTGTTTCATACTTGAGTTTCCTTTTACTTCCTTTAAGGCTCTTATGTCTAAATGGCATATGTTGATTTCCCCCCCTCAAATCTCATTTGCCAGTTTGGTTTTGCTTTAAAATCCTTAACTGCCTTTTTAAAAATGTCCATTCCCAGTTCTCTTGTTACTACAACTGCTGCAGTATACATCAATAGGTTGTTTTCAGTAATGTTTGTTGTAGGTATTGTTTCAACTGCTGCATTGATATTTTCAACCAGTCTTGCAAGTTCCTTCTTTGATGTTGTTCTGAGCACAGATAATCTAAGTCTGCCTTCTTTGTTGTTAATATGATCTAAGTTTTTTGCCTGCAGCTCTTTCTGTACACAGGTGAGTTGATTATGTATTGTCAATATCTCACTCTTAATTAGTGGACTTTCAAGAGCAACTTCATTTCTATGGCCTATTTCTTGGTTGGTTTAATGTATTTATTTCTTGTTCTTTTCCCCCTTTGAGTGGCAGTTGTTCCTTATTTCATCTAGCTCTATTGCTGTGAAAAAGTTGTTTCACATGATAAAATGGTGCTGATCTGCAAGTCACTATTCAGTGATGGTAGAATCAGGACACTTTTATACTTCAAACATATGTTTTAAATATCCACACTGGTTGTTGTTATTGTTGTTATTGTTATTATTATTTACAAAATTTATATTTTGCCTTTCCACTCTTACAATGTCCACCGAGGCAGATTACAGTTGAGAACATACAAGATACAATTACATTATAAAACCATTAAAATCAACCCCTGTCCCAAACATACATCACTAAAAGAATTTCAAATGTTAATAAACAGAGTTAAACTACATATAAAACAGTTAAAATACATACAAAACACAAAAAAAACATTGAAAGGATGGCTCACTGAGAGAATAGCACATGAAACCAAAAAGTCTACCTGGGAAAAGAGTTCCCCCTCCCAGATTGCCACCTGATCTCAGAAGGCTGGGGCACCCAAAGCAAGGCCTCCAAAGATCACCGTAATAGTCAGATGGGTTCATAAGGGTGAGACCGTCCTTCAGGTATGTGGGTCCCAAAACATATAGGTCCTTAAATTGTGCACAGAAAGAAACTAGAAGCCAGGGTCAATGTAGACAAATTGAATGTAGATAATGTAGCAGCTATAATTGATAATTGAGCTGCAGTGGTTCAAGTGGTTAAGACGCTGAACTGCAGGCTGTGGAAGGTCGGTAGTTCAGCAGTTCGAGACCCAGGGTACCGCATGACGCTCCCGTCTCTAGTTCCAGCTCCTGCCAACCTAGCAGTTTGAAAGCAAGAAATTGCAAGTAGATAAATAGGTACCGCTTCGGTGGGAAGGTAACAGCGTTCTGTGCACCTCGGTGTTTAGTCATGCCGGCCACATGACCATGGAAACGTCTTTGGTCAGCACTGGCTCTTCAGCTTTGAAACGGAGATGAGCACCGCAACCCTAGAGTCGGACTCGACTGGCTTTTGAGCAAGGGAAACCTTTATCTTTAATGTAGCAGAATGTAGACAAGGGCCACACATCTTTGTTACTCCTCCTGGATTTTTCTGCAGCCTTTGATATAGTAAATCATGCCATTCTGTTGAAGCATTTAGAAGCAGAAGTAAGTGTCGGGGATGTGCCTTAGGTTCACTTAGATTTTTCCTCATGGGTTGGACACAAAGGATTGCCAAAGGAGAGCTGTGGGAATCATTTTGTGGGGTCCACAGGAAGCGTCTTATTCACTCTACTGTGATCCCCAGTTTATGGGATGACCTACATAATGAGATCAGGAAGGCTCCCACTCAACTGGCTTTCCACAAACTATACAAAATTGGATGGCTTTTTTTGGTAAAGGAGTAGGAACTGTGTCCCATACTACTGTGTATTGTCTAATGCTGTAAGTATTCTGCTATGTAATTTCTGTATCATTGAATGTGTCATGTTTAAATGTTTATGCATTGCTTCAGCTCTGTAATCTGCCTTGAGTCTCAGTGAGAAAGGTGGACTACATAAATAAATAAAATGTAAAACAATTGTTGAGTAGATTCTGCTACCGCCCTCAGATTAGAATTGGGCCAACATTTTATCGAAGACAGAGCTTGGATTTTGGCGCTGAACATGAGACTTAAAATAATTTTCTCAGAGAATAACAGCCTTCTGTTTTATATGAAGCATGATCACTTTTCTAGTGCATGGAACCAAGAAACAGAAGAAAAATTGAACATCATGCAATGCTCAGAAAATGTAATTGCTGCTCGAGGATGGCCTTTAGCTTGTAAAGCCATCAAGAAATTAATTATGAAGACAGATGCAAATAGCACCATATGCAGAGCCAGGAGGGTTTGTTCTTCCCTTTATGCAGGGATTCCCTCAAGATTTACAATTCCAATGTATCTGTTCATCTGAACAGTCTCAAAGTACAGACGAGCAATTATGCTCACAAGATTGACTGCACTACTTGCTGCAGTTTCTGAAGGCCACATATTGTACCTTTCTCAAATAGATATTGCGTCTGTTGCTTGGGTGTTATCGAATCTGTAAGTTGTGTTTTATTTGAGTGTCCCTAGTATAACATGGTGAGACAGAAATGGATAAAACAGTGGACAGAGTCTTCAGTAGATATTCTAGTTCCTAAATTATTAGCATACTCAAGAGTGGAAATGTACTCATTTTAGCTAAATTTTTAGTTCAGCCATGAGGATCCAGGCAACTTACAAGAAAACAGCTGTTTTGTAGCTAACCCTCTCTGGCCTGAATTCTTCCTTTCTTCCTCATATTCTCAGTCACGTCTGATAAAAAAAATTACTTGATTTATAGGTCAGAGGATTAGAGAAAGAAAGAAAGAGGCCGAGTTCAGACTGGCAGTTTGAAGCACAAGGGAGTCATGGCAAAAAAGAGCCGGAACAAATTGTTCCAGGTTTTCCCGGTCACACTGCACCGACTGATGCGGGAGCATACCAGGGAGGAGGTGCAAGGTAGCGTTCACACTGTTGACCCGCCCCTGATGGAGGTGCGACTGTAAAGTGCAGCTTTCTTTTTGTTAATCCGGAGATATGCGCTTATGCGCACACACAAAATCACGGCTTTTGGCATTTACACTTTGTTGGTGCGGGATGGATGTGGGATAATCATGCTTTCCAGGGTTTGATACCACTTTCACCTGGTATCTTTTAAACTCAGGAGGGAAGCGTTACGAGACGGGTTGAGTACGGCTGGGGAACGCCGGACAGATGTGCCTGTGTGAACAGCCCCTTTAATCTGTTAGTGGAACGTTTCTGAAACGTTCCTATATCGGGCCAAACTGTCAGTCTGAACTCGGCCAGAGTGGTTTCTGCATGGTTCTTTTAAACTGTCCAAGAATCACACTTATTAAAAAACTGTCCACCTTGATACTCAAGAGAGATCTGTATAGTATTTCATGCAGGATGTCAACATTGATATGGATTTGGATGCATGTCCCCATTTGTACTGTCTACAATACTCCTCCGAGAAGTTCCTTTTCCCCATGCAGATTTCAGTCTGATGGAAGACTAGCACTTGTTACAAACAGTTCATGCCCATGTAACTAGATCTGAGCCCATTTTAACAGCCTAGTATTCATAAAAGAAAGGAAGGGCACATAGTTTTGATGAATCAGTACAATAAAGAGCTTTCCTTAATGCAGGAGGCATTTGGCAGTCTTAACCATTAGTTAGGAAGTGACCCCAAGTGAGAATATAAGCAATTTGGTTAACTGAGTAGCTGTTACTATGGAATCTTGCTAAGTGTTAATAAACACGGCTTTTTCTTTAGAGGTTTTCCCTTATAACTGTGTGAAAATTACGATGCACTCAACAATTTCTGCTTCAACAGCAGAATATTACAAAGTGGAAAATATCATATTGTCTTAGGCACATTCAATTTGAAATTAAATGCCGCTCAGCTGAGTTAGTAATAGAAAGTGTGACCATTTCAGATTTGTACCCGTGAAAACAGAGGGAAGAATATTGCTCTGGGCCCTCAGTCCCATTTGAGGCTGTTCTGTCTATCGGAATTACACTCTCTTCCCTCTTGCCCAGGAATGCTCTGCTTGCCAAGTTACTGATTTTGTGGGAGGAGATAGATTCGGCCTGTAAAAATGTACTTGGTCCGACACAGAATCCATTTCCTGCACACTGTTGCAATACTCCCACACAGTGACATTAGCTGTTCCTTAAAGAGTCTTTGGCATGTAAGTACGAATGATTTCAGGCTTAAATTCTCTCCTTGACTTCCTTGAATGGAAAATGTAAACTCATCTGGGTTTTGAAGTAACCAGGAAATCATCTTGAATAAAACGACTGTTTTCTGCTGCAGTCTGTCTCAAGCTTCCTCAGGAGGATTTGTTTTGAAATCTGATCTCAGTCGCAGTGTTTTAAGTATTTCTGCTGTGGGGTTCATTTGAAGGCTTAATTCTGTTTGGCGGGGAGGGAATGAAGCAGTTTCTGTGTATTTTTAAAGATGCAAAACTGGGTTAGAGAATGATCAGACCTTGAATTTGTAATGGTAGTAAAAAAAACAGTGTTGCAATCCTATGCTCTCTTATTTGGGAGTGAGGCCTACAGAACTCAGTGGAATGTACCACCTGAGTAAATATGCATATGATCAGGCTTGTATAATATCCTAAAATGTATATGTAAACATTCGGATTAGCAAAGAATAACATTAAGGGAATCACCATTCTTGCAAGCAGAATGGTTTTGAATAATTATTTTGTCTACTTTTATGTGGGAAGGAAATTTGTCATTGAAACAAAGAAACAAAAGCGACTAAGTAAATTGATGCATAAAATTACTGCCTCCAGTGTAAAGTCAGCCCAGTCTTACGCATGTTAACTCAGAACTGAATTCACTAGGACTTAATCCTTTCCTTTAATGATACGGCTCTTTTGGTCGCAGCCTTAAGCCTAACCACACAGAGGGAAAAAAGAGGCTCACTCCAGTCACAAAGGTTTTTTGATTTTAATGTTATGCTGGGTTTCTAAAAGGTAGAATGCCAGTGACCTGATGATATATGGGTCCTTATCTCTTAAGTACTGGGACTTAATCCATAAGAAATGGATGCAGGGTTGCAGTCCTAGAGTGCATACTTAGCTTCAATTTAGCTATTGTAAATCAGGCAATATTAAACCTCTTTCTGCAAGCGTCTATGTGCCAAAACTGCCAGAATGTCCAGTGGTAGAACTCTCTCCACTTTCCTCTAAATGCAGAAGAGGCACTTTAGCAAAGAATGTGTAAACACGGACAGCACCATCATTCTCTGTGCGGGGGGAGTCTGCTGTGAACTTTCCTCTTTATTCAGGTGGTTTACTGTGTTTTCGGTTATGGATAAAACGGTTAGGGTAAAATGATATCTGGATTATGTATTGTCCAGCATAAGAATGGACCAGTTCACCATCAGCCATTTTTGCTGTTCAGTGGCCTTTGTTTACTAGTCTTCAAGTATGCAGAGGCCCAACTACAGTTCTGTATGACTTCCCGCCCATTAAGCAGTATGCAGTGTAACAGTCTTCTGTGATAGTCAACCAAAGTTTCAATAAATTACCTGTGTTTATTGTCTTTATGTGATTGCAAAGAGAGAGAGAGAGAGAGAGAGAGAGAGAATTTATCAATTGCTTTGCAGGTTGGTGGCCTTGTATTTGGTTTGATGAGTCACAATCTATGTAGGCTTGCTTAAGGGTACTTTACAATGTAGGATTATCACACTGATCAGGTGATAATCCAAGGTGATTAATAATTTGCACCTGGAAAATGACTAATTCCTTCCTGTTTAATATGCACAACATCCCACACCTATTGCTCCCACAAAAATATCAGCAGTGATGGAAATGAGGATGATTGATGATGATGATAACAATCCCTCTCTTTAATTCCTGTGGACTCAAGCTTTCCCCATTATTGTAAGTGGTAGTTTCAAGATGCATTATTTTATTTATTTATTTATTTTGGGATTTTTACCCCGCCATACCCCGCAGGTGGGCTCAAGGTGGCTCACATCAACTCATAGAACAATACATTAATTCACAAAAACATTACAACAATAAAATAACTTTAATCAGGTTAAAATTTAAATTAATCATTTAAATATCTATTTGCACAGCGGTCATTCATTTCCACTCCAGTATGCTATGCTTATGCCAGGTGGGTCAGTGGATCATTTGGTGGAATAATTCTGCTGCTCCAAGTGCCAATTATCTAAATTGCACTATGAAGTGCATGAAGCACTTGAGGCTTGAAGCAGGGGAGGCTGATGCTGTTTGATGTTGTTGTTGTAAATATTAGATTCCATGTCAAAAATGAAGTCAAATGAGGAGGAAGTTCTTGTATTTTATTGTAATGAAATATGGAAAACAGTTAGGCCAAAGGACCCATCAAAGCTGATTGCTTTCTTCTCAGCATAATCAGGAAACATGCCTCAATTAATAGGAAAACAATTAGACCAAATAGTTAACCAAAAGTTGTCAACTTTCTTCTTTTTCTTCTTCATCTTCTTCTTGAGCATATTCTGAACATATTCAGGAAATACATGATATTTTATACATGGACTGACATCATCATATCATCATCATGGGAATAATATTCAAAAGGCATAATTGGTTACAAAAACTTAAACAACATTTACATAAAAATCTCCTTATTGGTCAAATGTAAGAAAGGTGTGTCTATGCAATGGCGTCACATATTTACTTGACATGACCTAAGGCATATCGGCTAAAGCTTGTTCTTACCTAAACAAAAGTATTCATTACTGATACGAGACTAAAATCCTATCTGACCCAGACATTGAAAGGTTTGCCCTAAGAACTACAGAATCATGAACTTTGTACCTATTATGTTGTCTGCTAACAATATCAGAACTACAAGAGGAACACCTTCTATATAACAGGCCTTTCTAACATCCTAATAAAATATTACTTAAAGAATAAATCTATAAAAACCAGAGAAATATGAATATGAACAATCAGGAAGAAGAAACCTATATATAAAAATCTTTATATTCCCATTCATACTACAATGTCTGCTGCCTCAACCAAATGCCTGGCAGAACAGCTCCAATTTACAGGCCCTGCAGAATTGCAATAAATCCTGCATGTTTCACCAGGCTGGGGCCAGGGCAGAGAAGGCCTTGGCCCTGATTGAGGCAAGGCAGACATCTCTAGAGAGTGTGAGGCTCTTTGGGGCACATGAGGGGAGAGCTGGTCCTGCAGTTATGCTGGTCTTTGGCCACATAGGGCCTTAAAGGTTAGCATGATAACCAATGCTCCCTCTAAGCTTGTGAGCAAAAACTCTACTTTGTGAGCTACTGGCATGAAAGTTGTGAGCGAGCGATTGGGCTACAGCATAAATTAGTTTGCTCTGGAGCCATCCTTCCCGAGCTAAGACAAAAACATGTGAGCCAGAGGCTCAACATCTATGAGCTAGCTCACACTAACTCAGCTTAGAGGGAACACCAACCTTAAACTTGATTTGGTAGTTAACCAGCAACCAATGCAGCTGGTGCAGCACTGGTTGAATGTGCACCTGCACAGATGTCCCAGTCAGCAGGTACGCTGATGCATTTTATACCAGCTAAGTTTCTGGCTTAAGGGTAGGCCCATGTAGAGCGAGTTGCAGTAGTCTGGCCTGGAAGTGACCATTGCATGGATCTCTGTTGCCAAGTCACGGGAAGAAAGGTAAGGGACCAGTTGCCTGACCAGCTGAAGATGCTAAAAGGCTGACCTGGCAAAATTAGTGACCTTGGCCTCCATAGAAATGGAGGCATTCAGGATCACCCCCAAACTGCTCATTGTCACCGGTGTCAATGGCGCCCCACCAAGGGCTGGGAGTTGGATTCTTGAACCCATCTCCCCAAAACTCAGGAACAGGACATCCATTTTAGCTGGATTAAATTTCAGCTGACTCTGTTGTAACCAATCAGCCACAGCCTCTAAAGCCTCTAAAGCCCTAGCCAAAATATCCAGGGTGGAGTCTGTCCATCCGTCCATCAACAGATACAGTTGGGTGTTATCAGCGTACTGGTGACAACCCAGCCCAAACCCCCAGATTAACTGGTCAAGGGGGTGCATGTAGATGTTAAATAATATCGGGGAGACAATTGCCCCTTGTGGGATGCCACATACCATAGGGTAACATGGTGAGACCCTCTCCCCTAGTGCCACCCTTTGTCCCTGACCATGGAGAAAGGAGGCAGTTCCCCATATCCCTATGCTGGCAAGGCAGTGGGTCAGAAGATCATAATTGACCATGTCACACACTGCTGTTAGGTCAAGTTAACACCAGCCGTGCCAACCCACCTCGATCCAAGAGGTCGTCCATGAGGGCAACCAGCGTAGTAGCCATCCCATAGCCCAGGCAAAAGCCGGACTGAAATGGTGACAAGACTTTATTCGTGAAATAGCTCGCTAGTGCCTCATGGCCAATAGCCAATTCCTTGTCATATTTGTTGACCAGGAATGGAAGGTTCAATACCGGGTGGTAGTTTGCTAGGACTATAGGGTCCAATGATGGTTTTTTCAAGTGCGGTCACACAACTGCCTCCTTAAGGCACCCTGGGAATGTCCCTGACAGTAGGGACAAGTTAATAATATCACCCAGGGGAGCCTGAATTCCATCTTCACTGTCTATAATAAGCCAAGATGGGCATGGATTCAGGAGGCGTGGTGGGTTTCACAGCTGCCAGGGTCTTGTCAACCTCTTCCTGGGAGAGTCAGCTGAATTGGTCCAGCACTGGATCAGAAGACAGCCAAGGGGCTTCCAGTTCACGTACCGTGGCAGGGAGATCCTGGCAGAGTGACAAGACTTTATCCATGAAATAGCTCACAAGTGCCACATGGCCAATAGCCAATTCCTTGTCATATTTGTTTCCCTTGTGGCAGGGAAGTTAAAGACCTAATCATCCTGAACAATTGGGCTGGGTGAGAGCTAGTGGACGCAATGGAGGCTGTATAGAATTCCTTCTTAGCAGCCCTCACCGCCATATCATAGGCTTTCATAAGCATCCTAAAAATGTTCTTGCAGCTTCATCACAAGTTTGCCACCATCCTCACTCTAATCGTCTTAGCTCCCACTTAATCCTCTAAAGCTCCACAGGGCTTGTTTGGAGTGGGGGCAAAGAGGGTGCCAGGGAGTGATTTTGTTGATGATTTCTGAGAGACAGCTCTGCCAGTCCTCCACCAGCTCATCTAACAAATTG